GTACGTCCGTCCGTCCTCTCGTCGTCTCTCTCTCTCTCTCTCTCTCTCTCTCTCTCTCTCTCTCTCTCTCTCTCTCTCTCTCTCTCCTCTCCATTGGAAATATCCGGAAAATTACCTGCGCGCAATTGCTACCAGGTTCGTCCAGAAACGCGATCCATCGCGGTGACGTAGCGCAGCGTGCGCTCGAGTGTATCCTAAAAGTGGTGCGCACCCTCTCACAATGCGCATCGCTTCCGCAGTGCTCATGTCCACGCAGCGTAACAGACGCCGAACGAGCGTGGAATCGATTTGTCGAATACCAAAGTGGTAACGCGACGGTGGAATGGCGGTCGCGCGAGATCCCGGAAAACCAGCGAGATGTGTAACGGAATCCTCGATCAGGCAGACCGTCCGGTCGATGGATCGGGATCGATAGGTCATGCCGATGATTTGCTGTCATTAATTTTCGATCCCGCAAATCAGAGAGAGAGAGATTCCTCTTCACGCGCAAACGGACCAGGTCTATCACTTGCACGTGTGCAACGTGACAGATGCGCACAAACGACGATAATAATAGTAACGATTTCTCTCTCTGTCTCCCTCTCCCTTACCCTCCCTCTCCCTGTGAGCCTGATTAGGATCATGAGGATTATTGAGAATCGATGGAACCGCACCGGGATACTGAGTTATTAATTCCAATAACTTCACAGTCGGTATCGACTTGAATTCTTCGATCGATTAAAAATCCACCCAGCGAGAGCGTTCTTCTCTTCTGTTGCTGTTGCACCTCAATGATTCATACGGTATTCGCAATTAATAACGACAGTGAGGCTAAAGTCTAAACTGCGGCCGAAAGTAAAGACAATCATTTAGAATCGCATGCCCAGGAATCGGGTTATTAATTATCACAGCAGTCATTGCTTGATATCATTTCATGTAAGTATTACCTGTTTATTTTAAAGTCACGAAGTAATCGTTCTTGATGTTGATAATTACGAGATATCCTGGGATGTTCGCGATGTATGAAGCAATCTAATTTAGTGTTATATTTTTTACAACACTATTTTCTTCTCTCTATGTTTTAATAATTAATATTATAGCAGTGATATAATATATTATATGC